TTTTTTTTGCTCTTTTAAAAAGCTTTTTCTTTAGCTCTTCTAGCAATTCTTGTTGGCCTTGCGTCCAATCTACATTTTTCTTTGAGGCTTTGCTCGTAGATGTTTTCAAGTCATTGTTTTCAGAGTTTGTGTCATGGTAGAAACTTTATGGTCAGGTTCTTTTTTTTATTGTTTGCTCATTTTTCCAGTCTGTTTCTAGATTTTGGACTGCATGTTAGAGTTGGGCTTTGTTTACCTCAGGTGATGGGAGGGTTGTCTGACCTAGTTTTCTTATTTTTATGTCCTCCTACTTTTTCAGCTGAGAACCTGTGAGTTTTCTGTGCTTCCAGAGTAGTGTAATCTGGAAAGAGGTCTACTCACTGCTGTCCTAGTGTGTGCTCTGGTCCTTACCCAGGTGGAGCTCTTGTTCCCTTTCAACCCCAAGCACTCCTCTCTTCCCTGGAACTGGGTAATAAGCAATGGAGTTGCCAAAGGGAGGCGGTCCCCTGCCCAGTGCTAGCGCATAGGTCCCACAGAAACTCTTTCTGACCAGGTATTCAATCTCCTCATTGTCCCTGGGCTCTGTCCCTGCCGTTGCTCTTGCTGCCACCACCTCCAAAGCCTGTGAAGCTTTGTTGAGGCTGTTTTTGCCATATCTTGCTCCCAGTCAGCCCCTACCCCAGTGTCCAAAGACCTCTCTTTCTGTCTTCTTAACCTTCCCTGGGCTAGAAAAATGACTCACTGTGGCTTTTTATTGGTTATACCACAGAGAATTCAGGTTGACACACTTTTAAAAGTTGTTTAAAGGGTCATATTGGGAGAGCTCAGCAAAAATGCTCACTTTACTTTGCTGTCTTGGCTCTGCTCTCCAGGAATATGCATATCAACAATTGTACATGAAATCTTTATGAAAATTGACCACATATTAGGACATGCAAATCTCACAACCAAGTGCAGAAAAGCAGACATATTCAACAGATCTTTTATGTACCCTAACACAAAAAAAATTACATTTGACAGCCACTAAAGAAATGATTAACCTAAAAATTAATTGGAGACTAAATAACTTAATCCTAAAGAATAGGTGTGAAAAAGAACAAATCATAGAAACAATTAACAATTTAATTAAAGATAATGACTGCTGTGAGACAATATAACAAAATTTTGGAGTTGCGGCCAAAGCAGTCTTCAGTGGAAATTTATATCTCTAAACGCTTTTATCAATAATAAAGAAAAACAACGAAACGATAAATTGAGCATACAACTAAAAAACCCCAAAAAACCAACAAAGTATCCCCTCAATTGAACACCAAAACAAAAATCCTGAAAAATTGAAGAACGGATTAACAAAATTGAAAGCAACACCCTCCCCAACAACATTAAATTAATAAATAAAACTGGGAGCTTAAAAAAATAGATAAGCCCTTAGCTGACTTGATTTTTTTTTTTAAAGAAACGTATATGTTTTGCACACGGCTGATGTGGGAATTTGTTTTGACTGCAGATTTGTAACAAGATTTCAATTTTTTTCTTTCTTTTTCAATGGAGGGAGAGGAGGTAGATATTTGTTCAATAAAAATTTCAAATTTAGTTTTAAAAAGACAACCTCCTCAGACATTCAGTAGCTGTAGCATGGCCTTAGTTTCCCAATCTGTAAAACGGGGGTAATAATGCTTGTATTTATGAGAACCCTGAAGTGCTATATAAAGGTGAGTTGCTATTGACAATTTCCACTCTGAGTCCATTTTCAGCTGCCTTTAGCTGTCCTCTTGAATGGTCCCAATTCATTGGGGTTAATGGTGCCCCTATCCTGGTTGCTTTAGGGCAGGGAAGGATGACCACATTCTTTCTTCCTGAAGATACTCTTGGTCTTCTGACTTCACTGCCTAAATCTTCTCCTCAAGATACCTGGCTGTCCCCACTCCGCCATTTTCTAGGTAAATAACGGGAGGAACAGGTAGCATCTAACAGGTTAAGTTCAAGGTATAGAGTCATTCTCCCCTGTTTAACTTCCTTTGACCTTGTCTCCTAGGCAGGATTTTCTCTCTCACCTATCCTCCCTAAGCTGCTATAAAAATACTCCTCACCCAGCTGGCCTGGGAATAGGAAGATGAAACTCCAGTGATCAGTCAGTCGGACAGTCAGTCAGTCAATCAACACCTATTTATTAAGTGGCTAATATTTATAAAAGAGCTGAACACAGTGCCTGGCAAGCAGCAGATGCTGCATAAATGCTTATTCTCTCCCCTCTTCCCTTATTGAATCGAAACAGAGAAAATCTGACCCTTCTCTCAGCTCTCCCAAAGCTGCTTGGGTTCTGCTCTTCTTTTCTGCATCAGGTCTGTCCTGGGTGGAAGTGGGGTGGGTGGGGAGTTGAAAGAGGTATTAGGAGGAGGCACAGTCTATAGGGCTAGATTCAGATACTCACTTTCTTATTCTTTGCCAGATCAAGTAAAAGGATTAAGTTAAATTTTAAAGAAATTCCTCTCTTCCTCTCAGACGCCCACCAAGCACTCTACTGGCAGAAAAGAGCAGGGCCACCATTCTTTAGGAACTCTGAATCTGGTGAGGGAGGCATAATCTCTGTTTTAGTAAAACCCCAAGTCTGAAATGAAGTGTCATGCTGGATCAGATTTCATCTGGATCCTCAAGGACTTTACAGACTAATTGGGGATTACTTAGCTTTCCCTGGTATGTCAGAGCTGAAAGTGGGTTTTCTCAAATTTCCTAGCATTTTCCCTCCTCTGACCCTATTGCCCTCTACTCTGTCTCATATTGTTAAAGTGTTTTGCAAACCTTAAAATATTATATAATATATATTATAGAAAATATTATATTATATATTATAGAAAATATTATATATGTAAATAAATAACATAAAATTATACAAGTGCTCATTGTTGTTGTTATCGGTGCCCAAGCCCCACAGATTGTTAGCCCCGTGAGGATGAGGGCCACATCATTCTTCACCTTCACATTACCAGTACCAGAGCCCAGGGTACTTGAGCACTTGGAATTAATTTGGGAGACAAGACACTGTTCGAATGTCCCGAGATGCTTTGGGAGGCTTTGCCTACCCCAAGAGTTAAATGAGGGACATCTTGAAGACAGACTTGGTTAGTTGCCAGATCAGTGGTAGGGACAGAAGCTTTCAGAGAAGGAAGCCTGAGTGGTCAGTTGGGATTCATGGGGATGGGAGTTGGACCTGAAAAAACTGCAGGACGTGGGTAGACTTGGAAGCAGGAAAGATGTGCTCAAGGGATAGGGAGATGGCTGAACCTCCTGGCCCAGTCAGTGAAGAATAGGAGCATAATCCAAAGTGTGGTCCAATTGGGGTTTGGGTTAGGTTAGGGTTAAGGCACTTCCTGGAGGAATAGAGCATTAAGTCCCTGCCCCAAGGTTTCCCCTAGGTCCAGCATCCCTTCACCCCAGTCTCCCTGTTCCTGTTCCTCTAGGTCTTTACAGGGAGCATAGAATGCATTATCAGGTTCCTGGGGAGTAGATCTGGACAGTACTGCCCTGGGGCATTCTCTTAGGTGGAGAATTGCAGCTTCCAGAAAATTTGGGAGAATCCTATGTCCAATTTGAGCCTGGCATCCCCTGAGTACATAGACACAGTTGGGAGACCTTCTACCAGAAAGGTGGGAGGTTATAGGGATGAGGTGGGGAAAGAAGAGCTGGGTCCTGGAGGGAGGCTAGGGTTCTAGGAGAAGGGAAAGTGAGATGGGAAGATGTCGAGGGTGGGGAATGGGATTAGGGTGGCTTCACCTTCTGCCTTTTCTCCTATCTGGTGGTCTGTGGTCACTGGAAGAATTTTTTTACAGTGGCTTAGAGTGAGTGTTTTGGTCAGATTTACCAGGAGAAGATGAAGGACTTCTCTGTCCAATTCCCCTGGGAAGATCCAGAGGTCAAGGGGATGCTGAAGTCATGATCTCCCAATAAACTCTGAGAAGCTTAAACACATGGCTGGCTCTTTGCCTTTTCTTGCTGAGGGACTAGGGGCAGGGCACCCATAGAGGCAGGAGGTGGGAAAGACTGGGACCAACGAATCAGCCATCCCCCCTCATCTCTCAGTCCAAGATTAGAGGTTGCTGTCTTCCCCAATGATATCACACCTTAGCCTCCCCCAAGTCAGTACCCAGGATGCTGAGCCCTGCTAGGAGTTAACTGGTAATTTGAAATCTCACAGGAGAACTGGCAGTGAGGAAAGCCACCAGAAACCTGGCTCCTTAGAATGGGAAGAGGAAGGAGAATTGGGAGAGGTAGGATGGGCATGGTCATCATAATCCATGATAATGATGGATTCACTTACTTCATTTACCTTGACACCATCAGGCCCCCTCTTCTAGCTAGTGTTTTAATTTCTGTCTGTAGAAATTCCTAGAAAGTCTTAAATAAATGAGGAATAGAAGAGTCTCCACTCTGCCTCTTCTAGCCACCTCAGTCCCCAACATTCACACACACACAATAGTCTGGTCAGGTCATGGCAGGAATTTTAAGCCCATCTTGGAAGCTTCCTCACCATAAAGAGTTTAAAAAAATCCATACTTTTCTCGATTCAACTCAACAAACACTTTTAATGGGTCTACTATATTTTAAGAGCTAGGAGTAAATACAAAGACAAAAAGGAATTTTTAATTCCTGTTCTCAACCAGCTGAAATTTTCAGGTCTCACTTTTACCTGTCCAATTACCTCTCTGGTAACTTAGTACACGACTCTGTACATACCTAAATGTCTCTTCCTCCTCATTCTTCACCTTCCCTCTCCCCTGCTTGGCGCTGGCTTGGCCACAAGCGATGGGAACTAGGATCTGGCCATCCTCCCAGGGGCCCTTTAGAGCCGATGGCCCTCAGGAACAATAGAAAATGAGGCTTCAAGGTGGAAACAATTGTCAGAACTGCTGATCCAAGCCAATGAGTTACCTGGCAGGACCCCAACTCCACCCCAGGTGCCAGGGTGACCCCACCCTATGTGCTGATGTATATAATCGGCTCCCTTTGGAGCTGGGAGCAGGGGGGCCATGGAGGTGCTCTGGCTGCTGATTATGGGTGAGTGTGGAATGTGCATTGGGAGGGGGAGTTTCAGCACTATAGGAGGAGGATAGGGAAAGAGCTCACCCACCTCTCACTCTCTGATCTTCCTGCTGTCCTCAGCATTGCAGGGGCCCCTGGCCCAGGGTCAGGATGCAGCTGGTGAGTTGGGGCCTCAGGGCAGGGAAGAGTGGGACCATTCATGATGAGATCTGAGGAGAGATGGGATGCAGAGCAGGGAGTCTGCTCTCCAACCCTGTCCTGGATGTGTTGGGGGGCAAAGGCGGGGAGGCGGGGGGAACATGACTTTTACACTCTTGGAAAGTCCTTAGCCAGCTAGGGGTAGATTTGAGACCTCCTGGGAGCCTTCCACTTATTGGGGGATGGGATGAGGTTCTGATAGGGGCAGTGCAGTACACCGTCTGGAGTCTGATAGAAAGGCAAGACACACACAGAGACATAAGACAAATTAGGCCACTTGCTCACAGCAAGGGCCAAGGTCCTCTGTGCAAAGAGTCCACAGAGGCTTAGGGTTGGGAGACCTGGCATGAAGTAGAGCGACGAGTGTGGTTAAGGTTTCCTGGGGCATGGGGTCTCTGTCCTGAAACCCTGAGGGGAGGGGCTGTTTCTGTGCTCTGAGAAGCCCCTGAACCCCCAGCCACCCTCCTGTATCCCTTCGGCCCCGAGCATGGAGACCAGAGTGTCCCCAGGGCAGATGATGGTTACTCCCCAAAGATCCTACTCTCTGAACCCTTCAGCTTCTTTGGAATCACCTACAGAGGCGTCTATGTGAGTCTGGGAGAGCACCTTTGTCTATGATCCTCCCATCCCCCATGGCCATCCCCGCCCTGCCTGGGCTCCCCAGCCCCAGTATTCCACCACTACCTTCTCTCCCCAGCTGCTCCCTGTGGCTCCATTTGCTCCCTTTCCTCCAAGTTCACTCTTCTCTGCATTCTTCTTCTTCCCTCTCCTGCCTCCTGCCCCTTCTCACATGGTTTTCATCTCCTTTCCCCTTGACCCCACTACCTCTCACCTCCTTCCACTTCCCTCCTTGATTTCTATTCCCTGGACTTCTCCATCACCCCACACAGGTGAACACCAATGGCCTGATCTCTTTTGAGGAGCCTGTAAACAAATTCACCCCTCGTGCCTTCCCTCTTGAGGACGGCCAGGCATTTGTGGCCCCATTCTGGGCTGATGTAACCACAGTCGATAAAGGGCAGGTGTGGTATCGAGAGAGCCAACAGCCCAGGCTGCTGAGCCGTGCTTCCAGAGAGCTGGCCACTGCCTTTCCTGGCTCCCCAGCAACCATTCTTCACTCTCTGTTTGTGGCTACCTGGGACCACGTCCCCTTCTACGGGTCCTACACTCACCAGGTGAGGAAAGGGAAAGGTGGAGGATAGGGGAGCATTCACTTGGTAGACCTTACACTCCTGAAGTTTCAAAAGGTCCATGGGCCGAAGTAGATGAGGAAGGATGGAGAGACAGAGATGAGAGAAGAGAGACATAGAGAGACAGGAAAAAAGGCAGATGAATTGGGAGAGACATTTGCTTGGCAGAAAGATGGAATGGGAGAAAAAGACAAGAGAAAGTAACAGAGAAACAGAAACAGGCGAACGTGAATGGTTGAGACTAGAATGGGGTATAAAGCTAAGCAATCTTGGGGGGAAGGTAGACAAGACCCCTCTCATTGCTCCCACTATAGACCCTCCCTCCCTAGATCTCATCCACAGAATCATTTTTATTCTCCCAGCAGATGCTCTATGGACTGCCACCTATAAATACGCCATTCCCCATTCCCGCAGGTGAACACCTTCCAGGCAGTGTTGGCTTTGGGCGCTGGTGCTTCTTATGTCCTTCTACGTTATGGGGACATACAGTGGACAACAGGAGTGATCAATGGAGGGAACCCCACCAACGGCCTGGGAGGGACCCCAGCACAGGTGGAGGCCAAGGGATCGAGCAAGGGAGGGGGAGGGGGAGAGGTCTTCTGTGTTCTTTCGAAGGCGTGTGCCCTTCACCCGAAGGTTCCCAGAGCAGTGTGACCTTCAGCTGGGGAAGCACTTAGCCCCGGGTTCATTCCCTCACCTGGATCACTTCCCCCAGGCTGGTTTGAACAGTGGCACAGCCGGGGACTATTTCAACCTCCCTGGCTCTAGGACATCTGCCATCATCCACATAACGTCCACCAGCAATGTGGGGATTCCGGGGCTGTGGGCTTTCCGAACAGACAAGTTCACAGTCCCGAGTGGCTGCGTCTACAAGGGTGAGTGACCTAGCCCTCCCAGCCCATGCTCCCCTAGCCCCATTCCTCTCAGGAACCCAGATGGTCCGTCCTCAATGCTTGCCCCAAGACCACCGTTGTCCAGTCCCCCAGCCCTGTTGCCCTAAGGGACCCAAAGGTCCAAGTGCCCCATCCCACTGCCTTTCTTCAGCCCAATTCTTGCCCATTGGTGCCACCTTCTGGAATAGCAGTACTTGTGGATACCGGTGCAAATGCCTAACTGACCAGAAAGTTCAATGCTGGCCCGGACCATGCCAGGAGGAACAGCAGTGCCGTGCCTCCTACCCCTTCTTCTACTGCCAGGCCCACCAAGGGCCCTTGTGCCAGCTGGGGCCCGATGGGCACCTGCGTACATTCTCTGGGCACCTGCTGCGCCTCCAGCCCTGCACATACATACTGGCCCAGGCCCCTGGCAATGTGACTGGCTTCCAAGTCAAGGTGGAGAGCAGAGGGATGAGCCAGACATCAAGGTTCCAGCTGCGGCTCCTGGCCCATGGCCAGGAGATCATGGTGCCAGCTGGCACAGTGGGTCATGTGTTGGTGAGTCTGAATTTGGGGACCATGGAAAAAGGCACCAGAAAAAGTTAATCAGGAGGTGGCTGGGTTTCCCTTCAGTGGGAGTCTTGACGTACTGGTGGGAGTTCACTGGGTGGTCACTCATCAACTTTGCCAGAATGGGGATTCTCATGTAGGCATGGGCTAGACTGAATGGTCACTGAATAGTCCCCCATGATTCTGAGATGCTCCTAATTAATTATGATATTAAAATAATGATAACCCACACTTACATAGCAATTTAAAGTAAGCTTTGCAAACCCTGGAGCACTTCTTAAAGTTTTATAAAATATAGCACTTGAGACAACCCTGAGAGATAGATTAAGCAACCAACACGTACACAGGCCTGTCTTGAGTCTTGTGGGGAAGGCTGATGGGACACAACCCCTGTCCTCAGGGGGCCCTGGGTGTCGTAGGGAGACACACACACAAGGGCATCCACAAAGCTACCCTTGGAAGCTTTGGCTTGGGGGTGCAGTAGATAGAGCGCTGGACCTGAAGTCAGGAGGACCTGAGTTCAAATCCAGCATCAGACCAAACACTTGACACTTACTAGCTGTGTGACCCTGGGTAAGTCGCTTAACCCCAATTGCCTTAAAAAAAAAAAAGGAAAAAAAAAGGAAGCTTTGGCTTGGAGGGTGGAAAATATGAGATGACAGAGTTAGGTTTCCCCAAACACCTTAACAAGCTAGAACATTGAGCTAAATCTAACAAGATGAAATTTAGTAAATGTAAAAGTTTATACTTGGGTTCAGAAAGTCAATTTCACAAGTACTGGGTTGGACAACAATTTGTCTAAAAAAATTGGGGCGGCGGGAGCATGGTTTTGGACTGTGAGCTCGTTATGAATCAACAGGGTGATGTAGCCACCAGGAAACTGAATGTGCTTTGGTGCTACATTGATTGTGGTCTGGGTTCTAGGAACAGCCAGGTCATGGTCCCTAGGTCCCCTGCCCTGACCAGACCCCATTTGGAGTACCGTGTCAGGGGTGCCACAGTTTAAGGTGGACTCTGTTAAGCTCACAAACATTCAGAGGCAGGCAGCTGGGTGGGTGAAGGGCGGAGGGATTGAGCCCTATATTGAAGGAAATAGGGTGTTTAGCCCGGAGAAGAGAAGATGCAGGGGACTCGTAACAGCTGCCTTTGATGTATTTGAAAGTTAGCACATGGAAGGATTGATTAGACTGATCAGATTTGGTCAGAACCAGGAGCCATGTGTGGATGGAAGTCACAGAGGCAAATTTATAAAATAATAAGAGCGAGAGTAACAACAATAATCATGCTTTAAGGTTTGCAAAACACTTTACAAAGATTTGAGACTCAACAATTCTGGGAGGTAGGTGTTATTATTATTCCCATCTTACAGATGAAGAAACTGAGGCAGGTAAAGATTAGGCTTGAGGTCAGAAAAGGCTTCCTTCCTTATAAGTGGACTGGGCTGCCTCCAGAAGGAGTGAGCTCCCCTTTCTTGGAGGTCTTTGAATAACAGCTGTACAGTCGCTTGTGGGGTATGGGACAGGGGGGCTTCCTTAGTCTCTTCAAATTTAAATTCTGTGGTCCTGATGGTAGGGGTCTCGGGGGGGGGCAGGGTGGGGGGCAGGAAATGGGTGGGGCATATATGGAGGGATGAGTGTGAGGTGTGGGGGATGGGGAATAGAGCGGCAAGATGGGACTCAGATGCAGAACCCGGCTCTCTCTAAGGAAGAGAGCTCTTAGCTCGTTTCTGTTTGCTGATGTCTTTAAGCTCCCTTTGCCTTTCTGGCCTGTCTGTGTCTCTGAGCCCAATCTTCTGCTAGAGCTGAGAAGCCCATTGCCCCTTTCTCCCTGTCTCCTAGGTGAATGGCCGCCGTTTCCCCATGCCCGTACAGCTGCTCCAGGGGAACCTCACTGCCCACGTCAGTGGCTTTGCCACTTACCTCACTACCAACTTTGGCCTGGAGCTGTGGGTGCAAGACGGGCACCTAGCGCTCACTGTGCCGGCTACCCTGGGCAGCACTGTGCAGGGACTGTGTGGGGCAGAGGCTTTGACCCCTTTAGGGACCCCACAGGGGGAGCCCACCCTTTTGGTTACCAGATGGCAAACAGTCGAGACATGTGGACGTGGACCCCCGAGCTGTCCCCCAGATCAGGTGGCCTTGTACACAGGCCATGAGACTTGTGGCCTGCTGGAGGCATCCCCAGGGCCTTTTACTGCCTGTGCACAAATTCTCTCCCCAAGGCCTTTTGTGGAAAGCTGTGCTGAGGAGCTGTGTATTGCTAAAGGAGAGCCCCTTGTCCTCTGCCAGGCCCTGGCTGCTTATGCTCAAAGCTGCCAGGCTGCCAACCTCACCGTGGGCACGTGGAGGCGCCGAACCTTCTGTGGTGAGGAAAACAAGGGTTAGGAACTGTCATCTAAAAGAGGGGAACCACTGGGGTAGGGGTCAGTGGTCTGCAAGGCCCATCTGTCTCCCCTATATTTGGCCAGGTCTGACACCCAGCGCTGTGTGACTGAGGCTAAGTCATGAGCCTCAGTGTACTGGGCTGGACAACAATTTATCTGAAAAAGACCTAGAGGATGGAGGGGTGTGGTTAGTGGACTGCAAATTCCTTATGAGTCAACAGGGGTGAGGCAGTAGCTAGGAAATAGAATGTGATTTGGGGCTATATTCACTGCGATCTGGGTTCTAGGTCACTTTGTCCTCTGTCCTGATCAGACCCCATTTGGAGTGCTGTGTTTAGTTTTGGGGTGCCAGGGTTTAAGATAAACTAGCAAGGGCCTGGATGCCTCAAAGACCTTCAGCCTCAAACCCCACATAAATATCAACTATGATTGTTATTATTTATAATGAATTATTATTATCTCTCTAGGTCTCTGCCTCCCCATCTCTTTGCATCCCTCTTCCTTCTCTCCCCCAAGTCTGTTTTCCCCCTTCTCAGTTCCTCTGCTTTGCCCCCCAAGTGATTCATGTCTTTCCCCTCCGACCTCCAGACACCTCCTGCCCAGAAAATAGCCACTATGAGGCCTGTACTAGTCCCTGCGGGGCCAGCTGCATGGATTCCTTGGCTCCACTGTTCTGCAAGGGACCGTGTCGGGAGGGATGCGCCTGTGATGCTGGACACCTCCTCAGCGGTGGGGCCTGCGTCCCCCAGACCCACTGTGGCTGCTCTCTCCATGGCCACTACTTCCCACTGGGGGCCCAAGTGCTCAGTGATAACTGCAGGCAGAAATGCACATGTGAGGGTCCTGGGCAGCTGGTACACTGTCAGCCTTATGCTTGCAAGGCTGGAGAAACGTGTAAGGTGCAGGATGGAGTCTGGGGCTGCATCCCTGGGGGCAACGGCAGCATCTGGGTGTCAGGTGACCCCCATTACCGAACCTTCGATGGGGTGGCCTTCACAGCCCAGGGTGCATGCCACTACACACTGACCCGGAGTTGCCGGGCCCAGGGGCGGCCCCCTAAGTTTTCTGTGCGTGTGCACAATGAACACCTTAGCTCCATCGCCGTGGCTTGGACGAGGCAGGTTGAGGTGGATGTGAATGGGGAGCAAATCGTGATGGCTGCCAAAGCCCCAGGAAAGATACAGGTGAGTGTGGACCAAGCAGGAGTGAGCTGGCCAGGTCATTGGGCAGTATGCAGAGTTTTAGGAATTATTGACTTTCCTCTCCTTCATACCCAAAGAGGCTCCCTCACAGATAGTATCCCTATTGGCCCCTAGTGAACCTGCCCATTACTGGCCCTTCCTCCCAGAATGATTTTACATGGGGGTTGAATTTACAAGGGGGCTGCCCATTAGCTCCCACATCTGCTAGATATTCAGAGTGTTGTCCTATCTAGAAGCTTGGATCAGGCACGCCTTCCCACTACCACTGTGTGCAGGTGTTAGAGGGATTCAGGGGAGCAAAGACATCTTGGTCTAAGACGTAGCCCTCCCACACTACATGGAAGAGATACCATCTCCGTTCCTGGAGAGTTTTTCAGCTGATTGAAAGAAACCCAAGCAGATGCACTACAGGTCAGGGGTTAGATAGCAGCTGATTCAGGGGAGGGGGAGACCCTACAGGTCCCCCATTCTTCCTGTGCCCCAGGTAAATGGATTTCAGAGGAATTTGCCCCTGCACCTGGCCGGGGGCCATACCCACATCTACTTCAGTGGCTCAGGGGCTGTGCTGAGGACAGACTCCGGTCTCTTGGTCTCCTACGACTGGCAACACTATGTCTCTGTCATGGTGCCTGAGACCTATGCGGGTTCCCTGTGTGGTCTGGGTGGGGATTTCAATGGAAACCCTGAGGACGACTTTCGAGGTCCTGACGGCACAATCCTCTCTGATGCCCATGCCTTCATAGAGAGCTGGAAGGACCCCAGGTCCCCTGTCCACTGCTCTGCCGTGGGCCCAACACCCCAGTGCACACCGGAAAGAGAGGCCCAGTATCGGTCCCAGGATTTTTGTGGCTTGCTTGGGGACCGGGATGGGCCCTTCCGTGCCTGTGATGAGGTAGCTGAGGCCCAGATTCATGTGGAGAACTGTGTGCATGATCTCTGTGCCTCAGAGGTGGCCCGGATTCCACTGTGTGAGGTGCTCCGAAGCTATGCTCAGCAATGTCAAAGACACGGACTCCCTATCCAAGTCTGGAGACAGCAGGTGGGCTGTGGTGAGTGACAGAGTCCTGGAGTCCTCTTATACTGTCCTCCCCTGCTTCCCAGAGGCCTCCCATCTTTTCCCTCTGGCTTTCACTGTTTCTTTCCATCCCACCCCTACCCTCCAAATGATTGTTAATCAAAGCATAAGAAATCTAAAAACCGACTACTTCTTCCTTAGATGATATCACATCATATACTTGTGATGTCACATTTTTGCAAGTACTTTCACAGGCAATGTCTGATGACTTAATTAAATATCCCAGGAAGGGATTAAAGAAAATAGCCCAAGAGAAGCCCTCTTCACCCAGATTTATCACAAGCCGAAGTGGAGAGTTATACTATCAGAAATCTGCAGAGAACTGTCCTGAGCTGTATTTAATTCCAGTAGGAAAGACAAATTCTATCCCCATCGATGAGACAGAAACTGAGGCACAGAAATTAAGGACCTTTGCCCAAGGCCATGCTTAGCACAGTGCCCGGCATACAGTAGGAACTTAATAAATGCTTATTGACTCCTAGTATGTAGTGGAAAGAAGACTGATGCCTCCATCTCTCAGGCCAGGGCTCTCTGTCTACTACAGTCTTCTGTCTGCCTCATGTGTAATACACTCAGTGATGGTCTAGTGGTCAGATAACCAGCATCATGCTCACCACCGCTACCCGTGTGACACTGGGTATCTCTGGGGTCTCAGTTCTCGCCCTGTAAAATGAAGAAGTTGAAGTAGATGGCCTCTGAGATCTCTTCCAGATCTAAGTCCCATGGTCCTCCAGGATTTCCTCAATTTGGTTCATTCAACACGCATTGGCAGACCCTACCTCAGCTGATGCGGGCATTTTTTTTAAGGAGCGAGTACTCATTCTGCCCTCAGCCATGTCAGGGAGCAAACACTGTGGTAACACGTACCCCAAAGATATGGCTTTGGAATCTTCCGCCCCTCTGTCTCCTAGCCCACTGGTGTGGGGATTGAGCATCAACCCCACTCCATCGGAACCTTGGTGGTGACTGGCTGGGAGCCTGTGATACTTGTCCAGTATCTCCCCTTTCAGTTAATCTGTCACCAGCACCAGCCGAGCCCATGGGCTACGACTAGAACACATAAAGCTGGGTAGATGCTTCTGCTGGATGAATGAATGGATGGACATGGGTGACCCTTGCTTTATGCAACTGTAGCTTCCTGAGGAAGCTGAGGGTAAAGCAGATGCTTCCACCAAAGCCCACAGGCTAGAATGAAGGGCCGTTCCTGGAGGCTAGAAGAAATACATTGATAATAAGCCAACAGAAGACTCACTTTACAGGTAGGGGAGTAAATGTAGGGGAAGGCTAGAATTAAAAACAAGTTCAAGAGGAGGTTGGGGTTTAGAGAAATTCCTGAATGTATCTACCCATGATGAGGTTTTCAGAATAAGCTTTGGGAGAGTCCGAAATTCCTAAGATTCATTGTCTGATAAAATTGGAAGAATGTAGGCTGAATCCTTCATTTTACAGGTGAACAATCTAGGACCCAGGATATCATTAGTGACTTTCCCAGTCTCCCTTGATGCTGATACCTTTGCTCTGACACGACCCCCAATTACTCTCTCTATATCCTGTTTCTGCATAGTTATTTTCCTATCGTCTCCCCATTAGACCATAAGCTCCTTGAGGATAGGGCCTATCTTTTGCCTTTTTTTTGTATTCCCAGAGCCTAACACAATGCCTGGCCCATAGTAGGTGCTTAATAAGAGTTTGTTGACTGACTTACTTCTCCAGCAAGAAGCAGAGCTGGTTTTTGAACCTAGATCTTCTCAGTCTAAGACTGGAGTCCTTTTAATTATGAGCATAGTGCATCTTATCTGGCAAATGTAGTATCCCCCAACTTTCCCGTCAGGTTTCTCTCAGGATCTTGGCCGGGTCTGATCCCAGGAGCATTTCTCATGTTCTAATGTTCACCAATCTGTCTTTCAGAGATGGCCTGTCCTACCCACAGCCACTACGAGCTCTGTGGATCCTCTTGCCCTAACTCTTGTGCTGAGCCCAATCTGACTGCCAGCTGCCAGACACCTTGCCAAGAGGGCTGCCAGTGTGACCAGGGCTTCGTGCTGAGTGGCACTGACTGCGTGCCCCCAGCTCAGTGTGGCTGCGCCTGGGAGGGCAGCTACTACCTGGCTGGGGAGACCTTCTGGGAAGGGGAAGACTGCCAGCGTTTCTGTCATTGTGATGCCTCCACCCATGAGGTGCACTGTTCCAACTCCTCTTGTGGACCTGGGCAGAGGTGTGGTACCCTGAAGGGCATCTTGGGATGCCACCCGCTTGTCCCCAGTACCTGCCAGATATTAGGACAATCACAGTATATGACCTTTGATGGGAAGACTCATGACTTCCTGGGTACCTGCAAATACCTCTTCTCAGAGCTATGTGGTTCCTTGGAGTCCCTACCCTTCTTCAGAGTGGAGGTTAAGAAGGAGTACAGATCAAATACCCCCATATCTGTGTTCTCGGAGGTGCTTGTCCTGATCAATGAAACCAAGATCCATCTTCATAGAAAAAACCCAGGTCTGATTGAGGTAGGTCCATCTTAAAAAATCCTCAATGGATACTCTACACCTAGACTCACCAATCTCTACTTTCCACCATCCCTGGGGCAATTGTACCCTCCCCACCCATTTCTCTGTCTTGTCTTCTGTTTCCACAGGTGAATGGAGAAATTCTGCCTCTCCCCTGCAGCCTCAATTCCGGGGGCATCATCTTGTATCCAAATGGGTTCTACTTGACCCTGTGGACAGATTTTGGGCTGATGCTCAGTTCTGACCTGGCCTACAGCCTCTTCCTCTCCCTGCCCCCCCGCTACGAAGGCAACACCTGTGGACTGTGTGGAAACTTTAGTCGGAATGCTAAGGATGAGCTCCGGCCCCAGAAGGGCTCCCTAAGGGGGGGACTTGTTGGCAACTTGGCTTCTAGGTGGAAAACTGAGGAATGTGAAGATCACTGTGCTCATGGGGGCTGCCCCGTCTGCACGAAACAAGAGCAGCTTATTCAGGGAAAGGCTCGGTGCTGGATCCTCCAAGATCCCCGGGGACCATTCTCTGCCTGCCATGCTGAGATTGACCCAGAACCTTATGTGGCTGGCTGTGCCAACGACCTGTGCCTGTCCATGGATGATAGCACTGTTCTCTGTCTCTCCATCCAGGCATACGCTGCTGCTTGTCAGAGAGCAAACATTACCATTGGCCCCTGGAGGAACTCCTCCTTCTGTGGTGAGTCAGTCCTGATCTTACAATACCTTGTACATCACACGTGTTACATCAGGGCTGGTTGAATTGAATTGACCCCAAGCAGTTTCCAATGGGATTGCCAGAGTGAGTGTTTAAAGGTGTTGAATCTTTTTTGTTTTTTTCTCCCTGAAAACATTTTAAAAGAGCCAGACCTGATATTTTTGCCTCTCAGACTTTCAGAAATCATAGAGAATGGAACTGCTTCTGAGAGGCTTGTCCAGGGTTCTACAGCTCATGGCAAAATTGGGATACTGAGATAGAACAGCACTCATTCATTCATTCTGCAAGTTTTCACTTCTGCCCACACTGAGTGTAAATATCTGTTCTATGCTAAGCATTACGAGGAAAAGGAAAGGAAACAAAATGGGCAGTACCCATGGTTCTGGTTATCAGAACCTTTATCATCTTGCTGTAGAGACAAGATTTCCTTGTATGATCTAACAAAAGGGTCCGTGGTCTCTCATGTGTGATTATTGTAAAGCCTGTCTGTCTTTATCTTTGGGCAACTCTTCTCTGAGCTCCTCCATAGCAACAGATTAGCCATCACACAGTCCAGATTGGGATCAGGAGGGCATAAATGCTAAGGAAATTTGGAAGGGAAGGCTGAGTCACTATGGTAGTGCTAGCCCCAGGAAGTCTTTGTTGGTATTATATTTCAGTTGTGTCCAACTCTTTATGACTCCATCTGGGGTTTTCTTGGCAAAGATACCAGAGTGGGTTGTCCTTTTATTCTCCAGCTCATTTTACAGATGAGGAAACTGAGGCAAACAGGTTTAAGTGACTTGCCTAGGGTCACGCAGCTAATAAGCGTCTGAGGTCACATTAGAACTCAGGTCTTCCTGACTTCAGGCCTGGCACTCTATCCATAGCATCATCTAGCTGTAATCTTTATGCAGTTAGGCTTTGAAAGACAGAAAGGATTTAGAAGAGAAGCACATGGTTTTGGGGATAGTGAGAAGACCCTTCTGGTTGGGAGAGAGGAGATACTTATTTAATCTCATTCCTTGAACAAGGGACGGGGGGAAAGTCAGCCAGGTAGGATGCAGTTGTATTATGAATAGCCTTGAATCACAGATTGAGAGGTCTAGATTTGATCTGAGAGGCTACAGGACGCCACTGTAGGTTTCTGTGGCCAAAGTGGTGTTTTAGGGAGGTTAGTCTGGCAATGTGTGCAGGATGGACTGGAGTGGGCGAGGTTGACTGTGCCATGGACCAGCTGGGGTCCCTCACCTCCGGGTGGTTTCTCCCCTTCCCAGCCCCTGCATGTCCAGCTCACAGCACATATCACCTCTGCCAAGTCCCCCACAAGGTTCAGTTCTGTGCTTCGGTTCCACTGCCTCTGTCTGCTAGCTCAGTTTGCTCTGAGGGCTGTACCTGCTATGATGGCTACCTATGGAGTGGGGACAGGTGTGTTCGACCAGATCAGTGTGGCTGTGAGCATGAGGGCCGCTATCACAAGGTCAGTATGGAATCCCGAGGAAAGCGTGATAGCCAGACTGGCAGAAGGGACGGCATAAAGGGTGGTGTGATACACTGGGGAAGGGCTGCATGTGGACTCAAAGGACGTGGCCTGAAACCTTGGTTAACAGCAACAATAATAGTGATCATTGTTCTTCTTCTTATTATTAGAATTTGTATAGCACTTGAAGGTTTGCAAAGTGCTTTACAGATATTATCTCTTTTGATCCTCACAACAATCCTGAGACATAGGTGCTATTATTATCCCCATTTTACAGGTAAGAAAACTGAGGCAGGCAGAGGTTAAAGTGACTTGTCCAGGATCACAGTTGTGTCTGAGGTGGGATAGGAACTCAGGGTTTCCTGACTCAAGGTCCAAAGTTCTACCCACTGCGCCACCTAATGGCCTCTAGTTCTGTTTTGGCTTCTTACATGTGTGACCTTGGAAAAGTCACTTAATTTCATGGGACCTCATCATCATCTGTCAAACGAGTCAGTAGGACTAGGTTACATCTGAGGTGCCTTCCAAATTCATTCTCAGCTTCACCCCTTCTTCTCTCCCTCCATACGAGAAGTCTGACCCTTGCTTCTGTCCCTTTTCCTCACCACTCCCAATAGCTGGGGTCAGCACCAAGGTTCACCTACCAAAGGAATCTCTCTGATGGGGGCCTGAGGAGCAGGCTAAGGGAAGTCACAGTTGTCCTCACAGGTTTAGGCTGTCTCACAACATTCCAATCCTGCTTCCAAGAATAACCAGTAATTTATCTTAAAAACAGAAACACAAAAAACCCTTTCTGAGTCTTAGCGTATGTGACCTTTCAATGGAATGCCTTCCACAGGTTTTCTCCCCATGGTGTAATGTAGGACTTTGCTGAGCTGTCCTAATGTTTTCTTCTAGTATCGGAGGGTGTCAAGATAGCTAATGAACATGCCTACGTCTTTAGGTCATTTGGCCCCTCCCTGACTCTAGGGATATTGAGCCTATCACCACTAGGTTTTTTTCTCTCTGGACTGATAAAGCTTCTTTTTAAATCTGTCTTGGTTCAGCCTCATCTCAGTCTACCCCACATGTCTAGAAAGAAGTCCATCCCCAGCCTCCCTCAGCCAGGAGGGACCAGGTACTAGTGATGGCATTCCCTACCCCAACCTAGCCCTCTCCCTTCACCTACACCTCTCTGCTAGGTCGGAGAGCTGCTCTGGCTTTCTCACTGCACCAGCCGCTGCAGCTGTGATGCTCCTGGTCAGTTCCGATGCGCTCCAGCCCAGTGTCCTGAAGGGGAGATATGTGCCCTGCGGGCTGGCCGGCTGGGCTGTCAGAACCCCATGGGCATCTGCACAGCCACCGGGGATCCTCACTACTTCACATTTGATGGAGTGGTCGCTCACTTCCAAGGCACCTGTGTCTATAAATTGACCCACACGTGCAAGGAAGCCTCTCCTCCTGGAGGCCTTTCCTTCCGAGTGGAGGCTACCAACAGAAACTTCCGCAGTCGTAAAGTCTCCTTTGTGACCCATGTGGAGGTGTGGCTCAGTAACCAGGATTTCAAGGCCCATGTGGTCTTAGAACGTGGCCAGCCAGTCAAGGTAAGCAGGGATTGAAAGAGAAGAAAATGGATGGGAAAAGGGCCCCTTTTATCAGGGAGAACTAACCTGAACCCCAGTAATATAGCCAATCTCAGTTCCAATTCTGCTACCAGCTCTCATCCTCACACTAGGTTGAGTCTGTCCTTAAATTAGATTCTATTTCTAATACTGACCCTGTCCTTCATCTGAATTTTAAGACTCCCTGGATTAGACTTTTTTTTTTTGGCCTCAGAGGGCAGAAGTAGACACAACAGGTAAAAATTGTAGAGAGGCAGATTTTGGTCAGATATAAGGAAAAATTTCCTAACAATTCAAATCGGTTGTGTTGGGAGAGACTGGGCACCTACTTGGGGAATTCAAGCACAGGCTTGATGCCTACTTGCTCAGGCTTTCATAGAAGGCACTCTTGCTCAGCTATAAGATGGTCTTAGGCTCCTTCCAATTCTGGAATCCCTGTGATTCTAAATAGACCTGGAAACTCAGAGTCACAATTGGTCCAGAAGTCATTTCTCTCTGGCTTTAGGCTGTTTTGTAGGATTTCAGGGGAACATATGTACTTTTCTTATTACCTTGGGGAAGACAGACACCTTTAAAATAATCTTGAATCTGACAAATTCACAGATTGGTGGCTGAAGAAGGTGACCCAGATATGTGCTGGTCGGGGGCATAAGAAGCAGTCTGCCAAAAATGAAAATATGCCAGAGATAATTTATTATCAATGTTAGCCATTATTATTATTAGCTAACAAGAATGTGTTAGGAGCCAGTGGAAAGCTTGAGGCAAGTGAAAGAAACTGAGATGGCCTGGCTTAGAGAAGAGGGTGATGGGGACTCCCCTGTCTAGGCGAAAACATAGAGAATGAAATACTTAAAAGTTGCCACAGATTGGATTTCGCCAGATACAGAAGGAGGGCTGGGATGCCTCCTTCCCTAGGGATGCCCCAGTGTAGAAAGCACCTCCTCATTCTCAGCATCAGATGAGGAGTCCTATTTGGAAGCGTTGAAGATATGCTAACCCAAAGACCTTGATCCTTAGATTAGATCTATCCCTCTCTTACCAGGTGAATGGGCACCCAGTCACCCTGCCAGTACAGCTGGGGCCCCAGGCGAGGGTACAACAGGAGCAGGGCCTGTCACTGCTCCGAGTAGGAGAGGAGCTAGAGGTTCAGTATAATGGACGGAATACCCTGTTTGTGAGAGTGGGGCCAGGATACAGGGGTCGTCTGTGTGGCATGTGCGGCAACTTCAATGGTGACAAGAATGATGACAAGATCCTCCCTGATGGGAAGCTAGCTTCCAGTGATGCTGAATTTGGAAATGGCTGGCAGGTCCATCCCAGCCCACCTGGGTGAGACCACTGTCCTCCATCTGCTGTTAGTTGTCTTTCTTTCTTTTCTTTTTTTTTCTTCCAACCAAAGACAAAGTTCATTAGAACACCCATCATATTGGGCGGGCTCTTAAGGAGTCTGAACACTAGTAAGCTATTGGCTAGCTTGTAAGAATCTGAGCAGTGGCTGGATTATAAGAATCTAAGCCTCTTATTTGTCTTTCTTTCCCCAAGAGTATCATAACATCAGGCATTCAGTAAATATTTGCTGAATCGATGAATGCCTTCTTCACTGTCATTGGTTCAACCAAAAGCATCTCAAAATTCAAAAGAAATTAAGACTTCACTATATGCTGGACAAAGGGTGAAGGAAATATGTGTGAGAGAGAGACATAAGCCCTGCCCCTTGAGTTTTTAGTCTGGTTACAGATCCCACACATGGGCCGATGCACATACAGTGGGTGTTCTAGGACCAGACGGTGTGGTCTGGACTCTTACGTATTACAGACTGGACAAGGGAGAGAGGAATGTGGCTGGAACAGTGAAGAAAGCTTTCTGGAGGCAAAGGTAGTATTTCAATATGCAGAGAAGGGAAAGGAAGGTGCCTCAGGGGTGAGCCAAAGTCTCAGGAGCACTGGGGAAGGGGACCAGAGGAATGTTGCTTTGGCTGGAACTGAGGCTAGACCCCGTCCTGATCTGCAGCTGCCGGAAAGACTTCATTGGAGCAGAGCTCTGTCATGAGGAGCCCAAGGTGAAACAGCTCTGCGCTGTCCTCTCCAACCGCTCAGGACCCTTTGCGGAGTGCCACTGGCATGAGAAGCCTGACCCTTTTGTGCAGTCCTGTGTCTATGACCTATGTCAATACGGGTCAGGCAATCGAATGCTGTGCGCTGCTCTGGAAGCCTATGCTGAGCTCTGTGCCCTGCGTAGGGTGAGGCTGCCTGACTGGAGAACAGGCCTAGGATGCAGTAAGGACCACTCCCTCCCCGCCCCCCCACCAAAAAAACCAACCAAACAAACGAAATCCCTCTAGCCCCCTCGTTTTAACTCTAGCTCTGTGCCTTGTACCGTCACTAACTCAAGCTCTTTTCCTTTTCTTTCTTTTTTCTTTTTGGCTAGGCAATGGGGTTAAGTGACTTGCTCAGGGTCACACAGCTAGTAAGTGTCAAGTGTTTGGTCTCAGGCCGAATTTGAACTCAGGTCCTCCTGACTTCAGGGCCAGTGCTCTATCCACTGCACCACCCGGCTGCTCCTTTAGTCAGTTAGTCTTATCCGACTCTTCATGGCCCCATCTGGGGTTTTCTTGGCAAAGATACTGGAGTGGTTTGCTGTTTCCTTCTCCAGCTCATTTTACAGATGAGGAAGCTGAGGCAAACAGGGTGAAGTGACTTGTCCAGGGTCACACAGCTAGTGTCTGAGTACAAATTTGGCACTTGAGGGTTGGCACTCTATCTGCTGTGCCACCTAGCTGCCTTACCTTTATATGATACTGCTCCCAAACCCAGCCCCGATCTTACTGCTAACATACTCACCTCCAGCTCCCAAGTCCAGCCCTCATCATATCCCCAATCTCAATCTCCTCCTTTTCCCTTATATCTCTGTTCTGAGCACATGTGCTATAGTTTGTTTACAGGAAGAACTGGGGACTCCTGCTCCCTTCTTGGGTTGGGGAAATCAGGAGGGCAGAGGGGATGGGAAGCTCTAGCCTGCACCCCAGTTTTTCTTTGCCTTTCTTCTCTCCACACTAGATGTTGCTTGCCCACCCAATAGCTATTATGACTTCTGTGGTACCCCGTGCAAAGTCACCTGTGCCAACCTCAATACTAGCATCACTTGTACCCGTCCATGCATCGCAGGCTGTTTTTGCCAGAAAGGATATGCTCTAGAGGATGGAATCTGTATCCCCCGGGATCACTGTGGATGTGTCCTGAATGGACAATACTACCCGTTGGGGGCTGAGGTGCTTCTCACAGACACATGCAGCCAGAAGTGCACGTGTCAGGGTCCAGGCCTGGCCATGGAGTGCCGTCCCCATGTCTGTGGGCCCAGAGAAGTGTGCCGTGTACAGGGAGGGGCACGGGGCTGCTACCCTATCAAATATGGAACCATGTGGCTCTATGGGGACCCCCACCTGCGTACCTTTGATGGGGCTATCTTCAGCTTCCGGGGAGCCTGCCGTGTTGCCCTGATCCAAACTTGTAACACTCACCTCACCCCTTTTGCCATCTGGCTAAAGACTGAGCATCAGCACTCCACGGTGGCCTCATGGGCCACCCAGGTGGATGTGGATGTAGGTGGACAAAGGTTCTCCCTCCTGGCTGGACAACACAAGACAGTCCAGGTAAGAGCCTTCCCAAATCTTCAGCAAGAGGATCACAGCCTTCCTTCCTTCCTTCTTTCTTTCTTTCCTCCTTTCTTCCTTCCTTTCTTTCTTTCTTTCTTTCTTTCTTTCTTTCTTTCTTTCTTTCTTTCTTTCTTTCTCTCTCTTTCTCTCGCTCTCTCTTCCTTCCTTCCTTCCTTCCTTCCTTCCTTCCTTCCTTTCTTTCTTTCTTTCTTTCTTTCTTTCTTTCTTTCTTTCTCTCTCTCTTTTTCTCTCCCTTCCTTCCTTCCTTCCTTTCTTCCTTCCTTCCTTCCTTCCTTCCTTCCTTCCTTCCTTCCTTCCTTCCTTCCTTCCTTCCTTCCTTCCTTTCTCTCTCTCTCTCTCTCTCTCTCTCTCTCTCTCTCTCTCTCTCTCTTTCTTTCTTTCTTTCCTTTCTCTCTCTCTCTTTCTTTCCTTCCTTCTTTCTTTCTTGGAGGCAATCAGGGTTAAGTGAGTTGCCCAGGGTCACACAGCTAGTAACTGTCTGAGGTTGGATTTGAACTCAGATCCTCCTGACTCTAGGGCTTCAGACTTCCAGTGTCGGATTCAGAATTAGGCACAAGGAAGAAGAACAGCTTGGGGAGGGGGAGGGTGGCACTCACCAGCCATGAATAATCAATCCACACATGCAACTATTACTGTATAGTATTATCAACAACTATTTATTTAATGGTTTAGAGTTTACAGAGAGCACTTTCTCCAAAACAGTGCTGCAAGGACAGATGGCCCATTGTACAGCTGGGCAAACTAAGGCTCTGAGAGGCAAAATTCCTTGCCTAGAGTCACATGGATGGAAATCAGAATCCAGGTCTTCCTGGATCCCCAAGACCAGCACCTTTCTGGGCCACCAGAGCTGCCTCTCTGACTGTGCAGGACTGTTCACAGTTGGCTAGAGAGGAAAGGGAGAAGGGGGCAGCTAGGTGGCGCAGTAGGTAGAGCACCAGCCATGGAGTCAGGAGGACCTGAGTTCAAATGTGGCCTCAGACACTTAACACTTACTAGCTGTGTGACCCTGGGCAAATCACTTAACCCCATTGCCTAGCAAAAAGAGAGAGAAAGAGAGAGAGAGAGAGAGAGAGAGAGAGAGAGAGAGAGAGAGAGAGAGAGAGAGAGAGAGAGAGAGAGAGAGAGAGAGAGAGAGAGAGAGAGAGAGAAGAGAGAGGAAAGGGAGAAGAGAAGGAATTACTGGGGTTGAAGGTGGCAGGGTCTGGGAAGCTGAGCCTACAGTTAGGTGGGAAGGAGGGAGACCTGAGTCCTCTCCTCCCCTATAGGTCGGTCCCCAGAATGGGGAATGCCTTCAAGAGATGGCCAAAGTATGTTTTGCGCAATTGCACATGTGCAAACTATACCAAATTGGTTACCATCTCAAGGAGGGGGGAGGGAGAGAATTTGGAACTCAAAATTTTTTTTTAATGAATATTAAAAGTTTATTTTCATGTAATTGAGGGAAAAAAAATATCATTCAGGAGATGGCCAAAGTTAGCCAGAGAAGTGCCCCTGGAGCAGAGACACTGGGGTTTAGCGGGGGATACGGCAGCAGGAGAAGAGCGGACCTCACTTTCCTGGTGCTAAGGGACCGCCACATGGCTGTGGCTTGAGCCCTTAGATACTCTCGCAAGGTGAGGCCATCTGGGCCTTTTCAGGATGTAGCCTAGGGCCGGGCCTCACTTTCCTAAGGAAGTTTCACGGGGATTCTGTGCCCTTCGTTCCCAGAGCTATCATTTCTACATCTGGCCTTTCCTGGCCCCTGACACTCCTCTTCCTCAGCGCCTGAACCCCAAGCACGTTCTTCGGCCGCTGATTATAACCAGACTCTTGATTCGTCCTTCCTTTTCTACTTTCCCTCTACTACTTCTCCATACCCTCTTGATTCTGACTTTCATTTCTAAAGCTTACTTAAAAGGGAAACGGGAACATGTAATTTTAGAAATAACACACAAAGGCACTACAGGAAAGCTCGGAACCAAGTGCGTTGCTGTTTTGGAATAGTTTCAGTCACGTCTGACTCTTCATGGCCTCATTTGGGGTTTTCTTGGCAAAGATCCTGGAGTGGTTTGCCATTTCCTTCTCCAGTTCATTTTACAGACGAGGAAACGGAGGCAAAAAGAGTTAAGTGACTTGCCCGGGGTCACACAGCTAGTAAGTGAGGCTGGATTTGAACTCAGGAAGATGAGTCTTCCTGATTCCAAGCCCAGTACTCTAGTGGCCCCTTCTTTATAAGTATCATTGTTCATAAGGGAAGGAGATGTTACCTCTAGCATGAGCCAGAGGTTGGGAGCACACAGTCTTGGAGATAGATACTGGGAAGAGGGTAAGAGAAGGGAGTAAAGAAGAGTGAAAATTTCCCCGGAGGGGCAGAAAAGACAGGCAGAGGCAGGGCCTGATGGGAGGATGTGTGGCTATCAGCTCTCCCCATGCTCCATCATGGAGGGAGTCCCTTTTCCCGCCACCCCATCATGCCCCTACTGCTGGCAGCTTCATATCTAGAAGGGTGAAGAAAGAAAGGCAATGAGGAGTCCTAGCAGGGAGATTCCTGGCGAGGAGGATGAGGAAGCATAGCCCGAAGTGGGTCTGAGGTTCTCACGGACATCTTCCTTGCAGGTGAATGGATCCCGGATGACTCTGCCTCTGGTGCTGGCTGGTGGCAGATTGCATGCCTTTTCCAGCCCCTCTGGGGCTGTGCTCCAGTTCCATTTTGGCCTCTCTGTTTCCTTTGATGAATCTCATTCCCTGTGGGTCTCAGTACCTGAGACTTATGCAGGTTTCCTGTGTGGTCTGGGTGGGAATTTCAATGGGAATCCCAAGGATGACTTGCGGAGCCCCGATGGCACATTGATCCCTGATGCCGATACATTTGCCGATAGCTGGAAGGAGTCAGGATTCCCCAATCACTGCTCTGCAGTGGGGTTGGCTCCAAAGTGCCCACCAGAGAAAAAAGCCCAATACCAGTCCCAGGCTTCCTGTGGCCTGCTTAAAGACCAGGATGGGCCATTCTCTGCTTGCCACGAGGTGACTGAGGCCCATGTCCACACGGAGAACTGCATCCATGATGTCTGTGCCAGGGAGGGCTCCCAGGAGATCCTATGTGAGGTGCTGGGAAGCTATGCCCAGCAGTGCCAGCGCCTCGGACTCTCCATTCAGCCCTGGAGACATCAAGTGGGATGTGGTGAGTAGCCATTCCCAGATGAGATCCTTGGTTCCTTAGCCAGATCAAAATGAACTCTAGAAAGCCTAATTCCATTGCACCCCAGGCCCCCAGAAGGGAGGGGTCATATTTCTCTCATCAGCCCAAGGGACACCCTGAGGTTGGAGGCCGTGACTCTTCCACTGGAACAGTTTCCCTCGGGGTAGGAGCTAACTCTGTCATCCAATTAAGAGTTGCTTCGCTGCTTCTTCTGCGCCCTCCCCGGGGCTCAAGAAGGTATTTTATACTCAGAGGGTCTCCATAAATAAGGTGGATGGTCCTCAGGACAGAGGTGAGGATGATTCACACAAATCCTCACAGAGTCACTTAGTTCTCTTTTACTATATCCAGAATATCAGAAATGTACGCACTGCGGTGCCCATAGAACACCCCCCAATCTTCCCTCGATTCCAGGTCCATTTAACCTCCTAAAGCTCCAGGGTCTTCTCCTGACATCATCCCTGATGTTGCTTTCTCTGCCTCCTCTGCCAGCAAAGCAGCTTTTCCAAAGTCCTGCTTTATTTCCTTCAAACCTCTCCCCTGACCTGTCTTTCAGAGATGGCCTGTCCTACCCACAGCCACTACGAGCTCTGTGGATCCTCCTGCCCTAACTCTTGTGCTGAGCCCAATCTGACTGCCAGCTGCCAGACACCTTGCCAAGAGGGCTGCCAGTGTGACCAGGGCTTCGTGCTGAGTGGCACTGACTGTGTGCCCCCAGCTCAGTGTGGCTGCGCCTGGGAGGGCAGCTACTACCTGGCTGGGGAGACCTTCTGGGAAGGGGAAGACTGCCAGCGTTTCTGTCATTGTGATGCCTCCACCCATGAGGTGCACTGTTCCAACTCCTCTTGTGGACCTGGGCAGAGGTGTGGTATCCTGAAGGGCATCTTGGGATGCCACCCGCTTGTCCCCAGTACCTGCCAGATATTAGGACAATCACAGTATATGACCTTTGATGGGAAGACTCATGACTTCCTGGGTACCTGCAAATACCTCTTCTCAGAGCTATGTGGTTCCTTGGAGTCCCTGCCCTTCTTCAGAGTGGAAGTCAGGAAGGAGAACACCCGAAGTGCCCCCACATCTGTGATCTCAGAGGTATTTATCCTGGTCAATGGGACCCAGATCCATCTTCACAAAGAAAACCCAGGGCTGGTCCAGGTAAGTTCTTCTTGGCAGGAGCCATTTTCTCAAATGGCTCAGAGCAACACGGTGAGGGAAAGCAGAATACTGATTGGACCCGCCACTTACATATGGCCTCAGGGACTAGAGGCTCCTTACCAGACACTGCTTCCCATCTTGAAACACTGCCAAAAACAGGGTCAGTGATCTGAAACCTGAATACAGAACCGACCTGAGCTGGGATGAGTGGTCTGAATCTACCTCTTCCGTAGAACATTTCTCTTTAGTCTGGAGAGGTAAATGTCCACCAGAGTCCTATTGCTGGGGCTTGGGAAACACAGAGGCATACCTGCTTATTGTGACAGCTGTATGCTGTATATGTGACTGTATGCATGTATGTGTGCACTATGTGTGTAATATCTATGTGAACTCTCTCCCTGCCCGTGGATTGTTTACTCGGTCATTTCTTTACTCCTGGTCCAGCTCCCCCTGGCCATCAGCAGACCTTCCCTCGGATGACCCGGTGGCATTTGGAATCCTGCTCCCTGTGACTTTCCACCCCCTTGCCCCCAAATTCCCCAATCCTCCCTTCCTACCTAAGAAGGTACAGGGCAAGTGGGAAAAGAGAGTGTGTTATCAAGTTGTCTACTTTCCATCCTGCCAGGTTAATGGGGCCACGTTCACCTTTCCGCTGAGCCTCAGTATGGGTGGTGGCATTCTCCTGTACCAGGATGGGTTCCACTTAACTCTGCAGACAGACTTTGGGCTGGTGCTCACCTCTGACTTGGCCCACAACCTCTTCCTTATCCTGCCCCCAAATTACATGGGCCGCACTTGTGGACTGTGTGGGAACTTCAACGGGGATCCTTGCGATGACTTCCAGCTACGGAGAGGCTCCCCGGCGGGGAACCCAGTGACTTACTCTGCCTCTGAATGGAAGCCGGATGATGGCTATAAAGACAGTTGTGCCAATGGCTGTCCAGCATGCGTGGCACTGGAACAGCTTGTGCCTGCCAAGGCCCAGTGCTGGATCCTCCAGGACCCCCAGGGGCCCTTTTCCTCCTGTCACATGGAGATTGACCTGGAGCCCTTTGCCTCTGCCTTTGCCAATGACCTATGCCTCTCCACAGGCAGCAATCGCATTTTATGCCTAACCTTCCAGACTTATGCCACTGCCTGTCAGTGAGCAAATGTCACCATCGGGGACTGGAGGAACCCCTCCTGTGGTGAGTGGGCAGGTCCCCGTCCTCCCATATTATGCCTTTGGGGCTTCAGGTCTGTAGGCCCGACGCCAGGCCCAAGCCAAAGCAAGGAGATGATGGCCAACAGTCAGATGGCCAACGTTGCCCTCCCTCTCTATCAAAATGATAACCAGGGCTGATGTCAGGCTATACGGCTTACAAAATACCATCATACACATCAGCTAGTCCTCTTTACCAATGAGGATGTTGCAGCTGAGAGTTGAAATGATCTGCCCACAGTCACATAGCTAGGAAGGGTCTCTTCTGACTGACTCTGAGGCCTTCTATTAAGGGAGCACCATCTGTGTGGGCTTGGGCTGTGGAAAGACCCAAAGAATCCATAGCTCACTACCCCTGGGAAATGCCCTTGGCAGTTAGAAAGCAACAAACCGGTCCAGAGTCCGATATTCTGAAGGGACAGAGAATAGAGAAACTTCTCGAAGTGTGTGAGGCTTTCTAGGAAGAGGAGCCTTCCAAGAAGACTTTTAGAGATATTTCTGTCACTGCCTCAAGGCAAGAGAGCCCCAGGAGAAAGGGCACTTACCCTTTGCTCTGACTTCTCTCAGACTCAGACACTCCATATGGGGGCACAATTCAGCTCCTCTCCTCTCTCCACAGCTCCCCAGTGTCCCCCCCACAGCCACTACGAGCTCTGTGCATGCCCTCACCACCGCTCCTGCCCTGGCTGTGAGCTGCAGTGTGGGCTCCTATGTGCCGAGGGCTGTGTCTGTGATGTTGGGTACCTGGCTCAGGGATATAGCTGCATCCCAGCCCCAGAGCATGGCTGTGACCACCCAGGTTGGCCTTGCCTTGTGAGTGTCCTCTCCCTGCCTCCCCCCCCCCACCTATCCCATAAAGTCTTGGGGAAAGGGACAGTGCTCCCACATTAGGTTTCCCCCTACACTGGGACTACTGACCACAGATCACAGCTCTAGAGTTAGAAAGGACCAATAGGGGTCTAGTCACATCCCCATGTTAGAGAGAGGAATACTGAGGCTAAGAGGTTAAGTGATTTATCCCAGAGGTGATTCAGTAAGAGAGCTGGGATTTCAATGTGGGTCTGGTGATTTACACTCTGTCGTATTGCTCCTCAGTCTCCATCCCTCCCAGAATTCAAGCATCCTCAAAGGTCTTAATTATGCACCGAATGTTGCCCTGAACTGCACCATGCCCACCGCAGAGCCTAGCTCTTTCCTTATCCCCTGAGGCCACCATAGAACTTGCCAGGCAAGCTTTTCTTCTGTCCTCTCTGAGCCCCACCCACCAACAGGCCGGTGCCTTCTTGCTTAGAGGGAACCATCAGTCAGCGGAGGAGAAATCTCAAAGGGCTGTCACATGAATTATTTCTGATGACCTTCACACCAACCATTATGAAGGCAGGTGAGGCAGACACCGTTGTTATCCTCATCTGACAGATGAAAGTCCCCTAATTGTGAACAAGAGAACTCAGCCTGGCTCAGAATCTTGGAATTAATTCTTCATCAGGGGCTCATGTCTCTATCCCACATGGCTTGCTCCTTCCCCTGTGGACTCCCATCTTCCTTTCCTCCTACAGGAGCTGAGCCCTGAGGATGCTTCAGAGCTGCTGTGGAGACCAAGGAGTAGTCACATGTGTCTACAGAGGAGCCACACTGGCCAGATCTGAACCTAGTCCCTCCAGAACACAGAAAGCAGGGGACCAACAGCATCATCCAGCCAGCAACAAATCCCCCCAGATCTCGCCTACAATTCAACCCAGTCATGATGAAAACGCTAGCATAAGCATCCTCCTAAGCCAGACGTCTGGCCCCTGGCCCAAAGACAGAGGGAGGAGAGCTATGGATCAGAGCTCCCAAAGGCTTGGTGGGGTGGGGTGGGAAATAGAAGAGAAGCAAGCAACACCAGGCACTCATAAGCTGAGTACAGCTTTGGCTACTGTCCTCCCAGCTCTGCTCCAGAACCACGACCAAACTGCTGGGACTCGGCATTTTTTCAAGGTGGGGGAGGTGGGAGGGAAAGAGAGACAAGAGTCCAAGGGGCCTCAGTCATCAATATTCCGCCTCTTTTTGTGTTTCTCACTCCTATTCTTCCCCACAAGTTGTCAGCATGCATGCATTGATTCATTCATTCATCTATTCAATAAATATTTCCCCCCACCCTGCGCCTGATGCTGTAGGGAAGGCAACAATACAAGGATTTGACTCAGTCCTTGCTCAGGGGTAACTGGTTGTCTCTTTGGGGAAATAAAATGTATGAAATGAATATGTCAATATAGATTTCAAGGACAGTGACCACAAGAAATATCCATTAAAGACCTGTTGATTGAAGGGCTGACATAGATTGTATAGCTCTAGTCCACAGGGACTAGGAAAGGTCAGAGCTAGATCAGGGAGAGGTGGGGCAGATCAACTTTTTCTATGCGTTATTGCCTTCCTACTATGGGGTTAGAGGAGGGGGGACATGGGGACTGCCTGGTTAGCCAAGAGTGGGAAGCTGTAGCATAACAGAGGAAATCTACAGTCTGCCTTGCAAGGGGCAGGGAATATGTGGCATGGGGTAAGAGGAGGGGGCAGGGGGCATGGGGCAGGGATCTAACGTCCTTGCACACGGTGCTCTGTACATAGCAGATGCTAAATAAATGTGTATCCATTTGAATTCCCCTGCCCTGGGAGGCAGGACCTACCAGGGTGTCTAGATAAGTCTGGTGGCACATTTCTGGGGCTTCCCCAGCAGAGGGCAATGCTGTGCCATGGCCAAGCCTACTTGGGGTCTCCCTATAGCCTCTGGGAAAAAAAGACTGTCAGGGGACTTTCCAGGGAGACTGGGACCTTCATGACCAAGAAAAAGAGAAGCTGCCATGCTTAGGATCAACATCTCTGAATCTTCTGCAGCAGCTGTCACCCCACGAAGCCCCCATCTCTCTCCAGATCAAGCCTCTAACCTTTGCCCTCCTCCAAGTGCTTGGGCACCCAAGACGTTTGCTCTAGCCCATTCAGACTCCAGAAGCAGGGGGCTGAACTCCCCTGCTGCAGAGGGCAAGGTGGGGCTCAAGGCCCTGACCAGCTGGACCTGACTCAGAGGAATTGAGAAATGCCTTGGAGAAACGGTATCCAGACAGCAGATGGCTCTGGGGAGTTTCCCTTTCCCTCTGCTGGGAGGTAACAGGGCCTGTCTCTCCTTGAGCCATTTTTCCTAAGCATTTTTCCCCCTCAACTCTTCTCTAGAACTATTCCTCCCCTCCCCCAGCTTTCTCCATTCCCACCTTAACCTTCGAAGAGGTGCCAATGCCTTCTCTCAACCCTGACCCTTTTCCCTCATAGCCATCCCTTTGCTTGGCTCCTCTTGGCCCCACCCCAGGAGGCAGAGTGGGGGCACCCAGGCTCCAGATGGTGACCAGAGCAGGAACAGAAGCATCTCCTTTGCCAGCCCCTGCCCCCTCCCTATGACCCCAATCCTTTGCCAGCCACTCAATAGCCCCTTGTTCCCAGTCCAGCCCCCAAACAAAGCTCTCTCTGTGGGGAAGGAGCAGCTTGGGGCGGTGGTTACCCCAACTGGAAAGGCCAGGGCCATCCTGGGCTCCATATGGACCCCTGTCTGGAGGAATGTTGGGAGGGAGGGAGAGTAAATGTTACAGACAAGGAGAAGAAATGAGAGAGAACAGAACTTCAGTCCACAAGGGGTGATCAGTCAGTCAGTCAATAAACATTCATTCCACACTTACTATGTGCATCCTGTTTCTTAATAGCAGCCCTCACTCTACCCAGCCCAGGCCATTCCCAGGTCCCAGGTACTCCATCCTCTGCCATCACATTCCACCTTGCAGTTTGCACTCTCCTCCCAGGGCCCAGGCAGCCTGTCCCAGCAATTCAAAATATTTATTGGGGAGAGGGGTGGGTATGGGGAGAGTGCCTTGGCCTCTTCATTTCATCTGCTCTGATGCTCTATGGTTGGGGGGGGGGTTGCAGCCCCTGATCTAAAGGGGCCATAAGGGTCTCCTGGCTCTACTTTCATATGAATCTTCCCCACCCCCAACCCTCCCCGTGGCCTAGTGATCTTAGCAGTAGCTGAGTCTTTCAAAACAGCTACAAAAGTCTGTCCACAGAGGCCTCTTTATTGCTAGCCCCCCCTGGAATGGGCTTTAGTAGACAAAGAAGGTTAAAGGCCTCAGGAAGGATCCCCACTGTTCTCCAAAGAGGAGCCTTGTTCTTCTCCTCATGTGTGTATATGGAAACTAACTTTAGCCTCCCCGTTCTGTCGGGGCCTAGAGGCTGAATGGGGTCAAGGCAGGCAGATGGGGCCTTCTGGGAAGAGAAGCTGAGCTGCCCCTTTAAGAGCAAGGGGGTGGGGGGGAGCTCTGCTAGAGCCCCAGGGAGTCAGACCTGTTCCCTACCTGCCTGGATTTGCCTAGGGCGTGTCTGTTCTGTATAAAGAGGCTGGGGCAGGCCCAGCTGCTGTAGCTGAGGTGCCTTCTACTTCCCAGCTCTATCCTGCGGTCCAGGTGAGCATTAGGAGCCCCCTACTCTAACTCCATTTATTAATCGTGGCCCCCCCCCCCCACCTTGGCTCTGCTTCACCCAGCTCAAACTTTTCATCTCCCTGGGCCTGTTAACTGTCTTTCTGCGCCTGTCCCCTGACGTGCCTTTCTCCTCTTCCACCTTCTTCTGCTCAGGGCCTTCTTCCCTCATTCCTGGGCTTTGGGAATGGCTCTCTCTAAGAAGTCCACAGTCGGTTGAATGAAACTGGAGGAGCGAGATTTTGCCTGGGATTCAAAGCCCTCAGAGCTTGGGGACAGGTAGCACTTTGGGATTTTAAAGTACTAGAGAAATGTAATGATGAAAACAGCAGGGTTCTGCAATAGAGTGGGGCATTAGGCAAAGAGATACAGGAGGAGGAAGAAAGAGGAGCCCAGGTGGCTGAAAAGCCAGTACTGCTGGTCACTTGGGCAGTGCGGGGCACTCAATGCATGATGGCGATTGTAATAGAGAAAGCCGGGAGACACATCTCAGTCTGTTGGAAGAACACAAAAGGGGTTGGAATGGTTAGAATGAAATGACAACAATGTGCCCACTAAATGAAGGAAACCTGGTTATAAATATAGATACTGAGGCAAAGGGTACAATCTACTGAGAGCTTAAGTCACAAATCAGGGCACAGAAACCAGGATGGAATGCAGTAATATAACATAAATAAGGGCAGGATAGTATATCAAAGTCACAAGGAAACCACAGCATTAACAAAAAGTAATGAAGTGTATCATAGTAACAAGAAATAACAGGAGAAGCAGGGCTATATAATCAAAGATACCGGGGTGAAGTGGAAGAACAGGGAGTTAGGGAGGAATTCGCTTCAGTGTATTCTGAGGGGTAACCAAAGTGAATGCAGACTATTAACATGGCCCTCTGGCAGGAGTAACGCATGTCGTGGAGGATGTCGTGCTAGTCACCTGGAGGAAGAGATGGGCTCAAGGTAAAAAAGTCCCCTGTAGTGCCAGGGAGCCTCAGGCAGTGACCACAATCTCATAGGCCAGGGAGGTGGCATTAATGAGGCATGATAAACGCTCTCAGAGGCAGGGAGGTTAAGTTAGCATGGAGATCCCATGAGTCAATAGTAACGAGAACATTGCCTTTCTGCCCAAAGGATCGTCGGTGACACCATGGTAAGGGGGGGAAGGGTGGAAGAAATACCACGTGCCCATACTAAACCCAGAAAGAGACTGTAGGGAGGTTTCCCAAAGGCAGATAGATGGGCCCCGACCTGTTGGGTAGAGTAGAAGTGGCCTGGAGAGTGGAAGGTGGGGGGGTTCCAAGGGCACAAAAATAAGAGGGGTGAAGCCAGGTTGGAGGAATTTGCAAAATAGCTTCTTCTCAGCTCTGGCAGCAGCCTCCTCCCCTCCTGGGGCTCAGCTGTCCTCTCTGCTCTGCTGCCCACCCACAACCAGCCACAACCATGACCTCCTCCCTCCCCACCCCCCAAAAACAGACAGACATGCCAGGCCAGCCCCAGGCTCTGGACCCCAGCCCAAAGAAGGGATGGGCCGTTCAGGCTCTGAGCTGTCTGTGGGAGAGACTGCCTAGCAAGGAAACCTCAGCCTGTTCCGAATACAGACACCCTGCCACCTGGCCCCAGACTTCTCCCTTTCAAGCACCCCTACCCCAAACTAGCTCAGACTCCTCCATGCCAACCCCATTCAGCACCACTCCAGCAGACAAAACATAGCTCTCCTACTTCCCCGTTCGAGAGACTTAGTCAGCATCTGCCCTCCCCCAGCTCCCTTATCCAGCCCTCTCCTTCTCTGGCTCTTATCTGTTTTCTCACTTCTTATCTCCTCCCTGGGATCAACAGAAAGGCTTTGGTCTCTGTGTTGTGCCCGTGTGTACATGTGCTTGAGTGTGCTGTGCTGGGTTGTGGAGGAGGGGAGAGAGGGATAAGAAGGAGAGGCACATGTCCTACTGAGGTTCCTCCCAACAGGGCCCAACCTTTTGAACTTCAAGATGCACAGGGTAACAGTGGGCATTCTACTGATGATGGCAGGTGAGTGCCAGTTTCAGACTAAAAACCTGTTACTTTCCCTAGACTTCTCCCTCATTTGACCCAAAGACAGCACCTCTGATCCTCTTATGTTTCCATCAACCCAAGTTGGAGAGCACTCCTGAAACCATTGTAGAGATGGCAGTCACTTTTTTACTAGGAGGTAGACAGGAGAAAGAGGAAACCATGTTCTGAAGAAGAAACCAGGGCCACTAGGAGTCTATATTCCCAGAGAGAGGCAAAAGGACACCTGCTCTCCCCATTCTGCATCCAAATCAGAAGCCAGAAGTAGTCAATAGTATTGTGAAAGGGCATCTAAGACACTGGAGTCAACAGCGGTAACTGGAATGAGGTCGGGAAATCCCAAGTCCCTAAGAGAAGAGGTGCTGATGGGCTGGGAGGCCTTATTAGACATGGCTAAGAACAGCAACTGATGGCAGATGAAAGTGACTTTAGAAGGAGCCTCAAACTAGACAGTGGAGTCTGATTTCCTTCTCTCTTCTTTACCACGAAGAGGAGAAGGAATGCTGTTGTCCACCCTGACAGTTTGCCTGATCTCCCATTCTGAGGCACACTTGTGCCACCCTCCATATGGCCTAGCACCACCAGCAGGCTTCACCCCTAGTGAAGAATCTGCCTGTACCCAGAGCCACCACTAAAAGGCAAGGGTTAACCAGACTCAGGTTGCCTTCAGAAACCAACATCCAAAAAAGAAAAGAAAAGAAAAGAAACCAACATCCCACTCCCTGCTCTCTCTCTCTCTCTCTCTCTCTCTCTCTCTCTCTCTCTCTCTCTCTCTCTCTCTCTCTCTCTCTCTCTCAGTTCTGCCTGCCCTGGAAGCCAATGACCCAGCTGGTGAGTTACCCCAAGCTTCTTTTTTGGTGGGGAGGGAAGCAATTGGAATTAAGTTACCTACACAACTAATAAGTGTCTGAGGGTGGATTTGAACTCAGGTCCTCCTGACTCCAGGGCCAGGGCTCTGTTCACTGTGCCACCTAGTTGCCCCTAACCCCCAAGCTTCTTACTCCCCTCCCAAACTTCTTTGGGGGTGCAGGCACCCTCTCTCCTGCTCCTGTTTTCACTGTCTCTTTTTTCCTGCAGACAAGAACAGCCCTTTCTATTACGGTAAGAAAGTCCTGGGGTGAAGGGGATGGAAGCTGCTTGGGACAGAGCAGTCTGGAGGAGAGGTGAAAGAGAGACTGTACTGGTGGGCTGGGGAGAGGAAATTCCTGCCTTGAGGGAGCTTACAGTCCAGATGAAGGGACAAGGCCCAGAGGGAAAGAGAAAGAATACTTACAAATCAACATAGTCATCAAATAGAAAGGGATTTGTCACCAGCTAAGCCGAGTAGCCCCCCTTCTGAGCTTTGACTCAAAGGTGGCTTCCCTGGGAAGGTGAGCTGGCCTCTGCAGAAGGGGAGGGAGGCTGCCAGAAGTCAATCATCTCTGCCTTTCTCCTACAGACTGGCACAGCCTACGTGTGGGTGGCTTGATTTGTGCTGGGATCCTGTGTGCTGTGGGCATCATCGTCCTCATGAGTGAGTCTGGGGAATTAACGAGGAGAGAGGGTCTGGGAAGCTGAGGGGGCAGTGACCCTTCCTGTGAGACGTCCCTTCACCCTCTTCCATTCTTCTTTCTCACGCAGGTGGCAAATGCAAATGCAAATTCAGCCAGAAGCACACGTAAGGAAGAGAAAAGCCCCCCAGTCCTTCTACCTGTTCTGCCCTCAGAGTCTGTGGCCCCATTGGGACCCCAAATCCTGGTGGCCCCGCAGACCCATCCTCTTAGATTCTCTCTCCATGGAAACGTTGACTGTAATGAGTAGTTTACAGGGAGGCTCCCCTTTTGTTGGGAAATGTTCATGGCACAGGGGACTCCGAAATTCCTAATGCCCCTAACCCTTAGCATTATTTAATGAGGTCTGATATTCTTTTTGGGTGTGAGTTGGATCAGAGGGCCACTCGGATCCCTTCTAACTTTCAAAATTGGTGATTTGAGGGGTGCCTGTCTGAGAGAACTGGAAGGAAGCAGAGAGGGGCTGGATCTATGTCTGACTTACTTCTCTACCCCCACCCCCTTTTCCTTCTCTATAACCCCAGGGCAGGAGAAATCCCACCACCTAGGATATGTATTTCCAGTTTAGCAGGGTTTATCTGGAGTAGAATGGAATGGAGACAGGAGTGGAATGGAATGAAGACATATAAAGAGAGAGAAGGAAAAGTGAAGTAATGAGTTCAGGAACTAGAAGATCTAATCTTTCTCTCCTCTCTTCCTCACCCTTCTAGGCCCAGCCAGTAACTGCTAAGGTGGCACCAGCCTCCCAGACCCTGCAGACCTCTTCTTTCTTCTCTAGGAAAGATGAGTTTCTTCTTTCCCTGCCTTCGCCCATACATCACCTATGTCTTTGCCCTTCTGCCCACTGCCAATGCTGACCCATCATCTCTCTGGGGGGCCTGTCCCCAGGTGGAAGAAGGGTTGTTTTTTCTTTTTACATTTATTTTTGAGTTAAGCCATTCCAGGATCTTCACCACAAGATGTTCTAGAAGTGGTTGGTGAGAGGGAGAACAGAGTGGATGGGGGTGGAAAGGGATGAAGCCCTGTGGAACAGCCCTTTGGCTCAGATTCACATAAACTCCTTCTCTCTTAAATTCCTTTGTTGGGAAGATGATGTTTGGTTTCTGCTTTCTATGACAGTCCCTAAAAAGAGTGGCCCCCAAACCCCGATACCATCAAGTTTATAAAGGCAGAGTCCATTCTGGTTGGCCCTACTCCACCAGTGTAAGTTTTCATCAGACCCCAAATTTCCCACAATAACCCAGGAAAGAAAGCTTGGCTAAGCCCTGACGATATGCTGCCCACAGGAACTCAGGTCTGACCCCAAAGACCCCCAGTACACACTACCCCAAACCTTAACCATTTATTCCCCAGGAGTGTCCTAAATCCCACCATATCTTCCCCTAGGGCCCCAAAGACCCCAAGGACACTTTCTGCTTGCCTCCTCAATCCTGAGGTCACCCTCTGCCAGGAAGGGCTCCCTGTATGTGTGGAGGCCCCCTGTGCCCACCCTCTTCTTGCTGCCCCTGGGTTGCTTCCCCCTAAGATTCTGGGTACCTGAAGTTACCAGTTGACACAACATAAGCCCTCTTGGTCCTGAGTAGCCCTCAGGACCTCAGCCAAAATGATGCTTGTCCCTTCCCACCTTTTCCATGTGCATGTGGCCTGTCCTGCTCTTGGCTCAGGACTCTACGTGAGGACTTGTGGGGGGGCATGGTTAGGAGGAGAACCTGCTAGGAGACCCTTGACCCTGGGAGTGGTGATCAAGGATTGGTTGTGGAAGGGATGGGGGAGGGGGAAGGCAGAATAAACCTAAAATGGGGATGAGGTGTCTCAGGTTGCCCACCCTCCCCTAGCTCTCCAAGCACACACAGAATACCCTCTCCCAAAGCCCCTGCCCATGATCCCCTTCTTCCCTCCTCTTCCCACCCCTTCCCATATAACACTTCTCCCCTATACACAAGCCCCCATCCCACTCATAAACCTCCAACATTGCTTTCAGCCCTTCCCATACCGCAACCCCCATACAAAACATTTCCCATCTCATATAACAGCTCCTCCCCTACCTACCCTCACTTCCTACCCAGAACCCTCTTCCCCTTACCCCTACACACTCAACACCCTCTTCTCTCTTCACCCATCCTCACCCCATCTCCCTCCCACTTCAGTTTCCTGATCCCAACCACCCCTTCATACACAACACCCTCTTCCCCTACATGTGAAAACATCGTCTCCCCTCACTACCATACGTGACCCACTCCCTAGGACAAATGTGCCCTCCCCTTTCCTTCCCTTTCCCCATCACCCCTTATCCACACACATACCACCCCTCTTCCCTTTCCCCTCTCACTCATAAACCACCAGTGTACCCTCACAGCAAACACCCTAGAAACCCTCAACATCAGCCATCTCTCAACTCAAGCCCAAGAAACATTTCTGGACCTCTACCCCAAGTTCTTCTCTTCTGCCACCCCACCCCCTTCCACATATAGAAACACCACTCAGGTTTCTGTGCTTGAAGATTTACAAAGCACTTTCCTCACAACACCCCTGTGAGGTAGGGGCACAAGTGGGATAATCTTCATTTTACAGATATGGAAACTGAGGCATGGAACAATTAAATGTGCCCAGAATCACACAATTTGGTGTCAGGAACAGGATTCAAACCAAGCTCTCCTGGTTCCAAGCCCAGAGTTGGCCACATTGGTCCATCGTTGCCATTTCTCCGGCTCCTGGTGCCCCTACCCAGTTGCCACCATGTCAAGGGCAGCTTCCAGCTGATCGGGATGCTCTGGACTCAATATGTGGTTTCTCAGGAGGTCAAGACCCTTCAATGGAGGGGGAGGGTCAGGGTCGTGGTCTGGGCCAAGGGCTCAGAATCTGAGATTGTTCTGCGGGATGGTCCCAATAGACTTCTGGGTCATAGGAGTTAAAGCAGGAAGGGTCCTTAGAGATTATCCAGTCCAACTCCTTGCCACTATCTACCCATTTTATAGATGAAGAAACAGCCTCTGCAATAACAGAGCAAAGAATGGAACCTAAGTCTTCTTTAAACACGGAGTTTTCCTCCAAGGAATACCTCCTCGGCCCCATCCTCACTCCGCTTTCAAAGACTCACAGGATGCTAGAACTGGAAGGCATCCTTAAAGTTCAACCCCCTTGTTTTTCCCAAGAAGGGAAATAGGTTGAAACAAGCCAAGGGCCTTGCTCAGCACATTAGATGTGGCTGAGCCACTGCTAAGTCTCCCGATTTCCCAGCCCCAGGCTCTTTCCTTGTGGAAGTGCTACCTGTCAGTCACAAGAGTCTCCAGCCCCACCAGACGCATGGGACAGGGAGAGGGGGCCTCCATCCCTTCCTGGTCAGGCACTGAGGTCCTGGATGAGATGCTGGTAGACTTGGGTGGGGCCCTTGAAGTTGGCAGTGAAGAGAAACCTTCGGCCGGCCACAGAGATGAAGGAGAAGGCCCGAGGCGCTGAGGGCACTGGGGGCCCCAGCTCCTGCAGAAGCTTCAGGAGCCCAGTGTCTGGCTCATATTGGAACACCAGGCTATAGGTGAAGTCACTACCCAGCAGGACTAGCTGATCCCCAGCAATGAGCAATGGCTGGAAGATGAGGGAACCCCGGGATGGCAGTGCCTGCAGCAGCCGGAACATGGAACCATCCCAGCGCATCACCTGCAGGGATGGAGTTCAGGGTTGGGAGGCAGCGAGGCTCCCCTGCCCTCAGGGCCCTGGGAGTAGAGTTGGGGGGGGGATGGGTAGCATTCCAAGATTGTAGGGAAGCTTCTAACCAATCCTGCTCTCCTATGCTTAGATCATTGGGCTTCCTTCAAGACTCAGCTCAGTGTCATCTTGTAGGAGGCCTTTCCTGGGCCCCCCCCCCCCAGGCACTAATCCTGTCCTTCTAAGCCTACCTAGTATTTACTCTGTAAGTATGTGTTGAATGTAAGCTCCTGGAGGGCAGGGAATATTTTCACTTTTTCTTTGTAGAGATGAGCACAGTTCCTGGCACATGGTCAATGCTTAATAAATAAACACGCATTGTTGATTGACTTCAGGGCACCAGAGATACAAAAACAAAATAAACAAACAAAGAAACAACCCCCCCCAAAAAAAAAAACCCAAAACAGTCCACAAGGCTTTCCCCTGGGCCAGGGGTGGGTAACCTTCAGCCTCCTCATGTGGCCCTCTAGGTCCTCAAGTGCGGCCCTTTGACTGCATCCAAACTTCACAGAACAAATCCCCTTAAGAAATGGATTTGTTCTGTGAAACTTGGATTTAGTCAAAAGGCCACACTTGAGGACCTAGAATTCCACATATGGCCTCAAGGCCGCAGATTCCCCACCCTTGCCTTGGGCCAAGTCCTGTCCATCCTTCCTCTGAAATGCCTCCCTAATCTATCCCTAGCTCAGGCCATCATCCCCTCTGATCTGGAATTTTTGTTTGTTTTTAAAGAGACAATCAGGGTCGAGTGACTTGCCCAGGGTCACTCAGCTGGTTAGTGTCCCAGGTCAGATTTGAACTCACATCCTCCTGACTCCAGGGCTGGTGCTCTATCCATTATGACACCACCTACCTGCCCCTCTTGTCCAGATTATTACAACAGTCTCCTAAATGGTCTCCCTGCCTCCATTCTCTCTTCATTTCCCATTCATACTTCACTGGCCTCTCAGGTCATCTTCCTGACCCAATCACCACTCTGCTCAAGATTTAGGATAACCATAGGGAATAATAGGTATTATTATCCTCCATTTTATAGATGAGACCACTGAGTCTCTTTCATTTTCTTTTTTTTTTTTAATTTGTTTGTTTTTTGGCTAGGCAATGTGGTTAAGTGACTTGCCCAGGGTCACACAGCTAGTTTTTGAACTCAGGTCGTCCTGAATCCAGGGCCGGTGCTCTATCCACTGCACCATCTAGCTGCCCCACAACTAGTCTCTTTCAAAAACCATATTAGAGGGGCAGTTAGGTGGCACAGTGGATAGAGCACCGGCCCTGAAGTCAGGAAGACCTGAGTTCTAATCTGGCCTCAGACCAAACACTTGACACTTACTAGCTGTGTGACCCTGGGCAAGTCACTTAACCCCACTTGCCTAAAAAACAAAACAAGACAAAAAAAACCGTATTAGAAGTAGAGCTGAAAGGTTCAGCTGCCTCATTTTGCAGAGGAGGAAAGTGAGGAGTAGGAGGTGGGATGTCTGGCCCAGAATCACCCAGGGATAAGTGGAACAGTCCGAATTCCAGCCTCCATAGGCCAGGCTCTCTGCTACGTGACCTTGTCTCCAGTACGGGATGGAGGCCAAGCTCCTTCGCTTGGAAGCCTCCTCCATCTGTCCCTGACTTCCTCTCCAACTTTTTCTCCTACAGATTTTTCTCTTCCATCCAAATCAGACTCTGCCCATCCTCCAAACCTGTTCCTACCCTCAAGCCTTTGCTTGTGCCATCAGTCCACTTGGACCTCCCCTCCCCTTGTGTCAGGTCTGGCTCGTGTCCCAGCTGCTCCTGGATGCCCCTTTCTGCAGCCCCAAGGCCCTTTTCCTTCCTCTGAGCACCTTTGGTTCATACCATATGGTGAGGTCCTAGGTCCTTGCGCTTTGTATGCTGAAGTCCAGCCTCCCCAGCTAGCCCAAGCTTCCTGAGGTCAAGGACGACTTGTCCTCCTGGCAGGCCCCACCTTCAACACTCCACCACCCCTTCCCCAGCTCAACCAGGCAAAGGGTGGGGACCTCAATAAAAGCCTAAACTTGAACTGATCTTCCTCTTACCTCTTACCTCCCCAGCCCTCTCCACAGCCCTCCATCCATCTAATGTGTCCCTTCTGCTGTTGAGGGCACTCACCCCCAGTTTAAAGCCTGAAGTTTCTCCCATTTCTAAGGCATCTTTAGCTGATCATACCAAAGCCCAAGTCTAACAACATCAATACACTAGAGCGACTTCTTATTACCTTTAGGATAAAGTACAACTCCAGTGTTGGACATAGAAAGTCCTTCACAAGTCGGCTCCAGCCTGCCAGTCCAGACTTTGCATATCACTCTCCTCCATCCGCAGGGTGGTCTAGCCAGTCTGGGAGTCTTTTTTTTTTTTTTGTGAGGCAATTGGGATTAAGTGA